AGACGTGTGCTCTTCCGATCTCCCCAAAACCCCAAAACCCCAAAACCCCGTGCAATGAGATAAGTGGGAAATTGAATAATTAATTGTTTATTTAAATCTAGAATTATAAAGAAATAAAAATGCAATCACAAACACTTAGTAACAGCATCTAAAAAGTATGACTATTCCCATTGTAAACAAGTAATTTATAGAGAACAGCTAGTTTGGTGACAGGACAAGTGATCAAGGTTAGTGGCAACCCCCTAGATTTTTCTTTCCTTAAGTTGCAAAACATCGAAAGTAAGACTAATTAAAGATAAAGACTTTGTGATTTAGGCTTGAAAAAGGAAGAACCCAGGTCTGGCAAAAGAAAACCCATTGAAGAAAGTGAAGACGAAGAAGATCAAAAGAAGGTATTCATAAAAAATCTTAAGTACTAATTAATGTCTTTTAGAATGAAAACTTATTGAACCCCCAGCTTGACGCAGAGAAGCAAGATCAAGATAAATAGATGAATCAGCAAAAGGAAACTAGTATAAAAGCTAACATGGCTTAATAAATCAACTCTCTTCTCGCAAATAATAACATCTCCCTTCAAGCCAATAAAAATCAAATGCTCGGACGTAAGAACGAAGACACTAAAGTAGAAGCAAAAAGAAAGAAGTTAGTGAATGTTCAGTGCACTTCAATATTCCTAAACAACAATGAAATCAGAACAGTTATGGGACTCAGATCTATCCTTGATTCTGTCATGTGGGAGCCAAGCAGACTTGAATGGCTTGATCTTTCATACAATTTTCTTGAGAAAATAGAAATCGAAATTCTTGAATTTCCAAATCTCAAAACTGTTTATTTGCATGGAAACTACATTTCAAATCTAGAAGAAGCAAAAAAACTCTAAGACTTGCCATATCTACAAACCCTGACATTGTATGGAAACTTTATAGAGCAGATTAAAGGTTACAGATTATATATTCTTGGTATGATGTATGAAAAATATGAAACTCTTAAGAAACTAGACTCAGTACTTATAACCAGAAAAGAGTTTGACAATGTAATAGTCTGGAATGAGAGACTATATGCTACTAAAAGATAGAAGCTTAGAAAGCTAAAGCCTGAGAATGTTAAAGCACCTCCTGAAAAGAAAGAAGACGAATCCAAGACTGGTTAGAATGCATAATAATAGTGATAAAGTGGAAATGAATAAGATAATTTTAGATTATTATAAAACTATTTAAATTTACATATCAACATGATCTGATAAATTATTCTTCCTATTCATATTATCCTTCAATTAACAAAATAGCTCATCTGCATCTCTCAAAGAGAAGCAAAAGGATTGGATGAGCAGTTATTGTTTTACTGTTAATTAAGATCTTCACTGAATAGCTTTTGCATTATCTACTGTTTCTTCAGCAAGAGATGATAGGTCGCAGTCGCATAGTTCATTTCCTTAGAGTTTAGACACTTCAATAAATAATCTTTGGGATATATGCCTGATTTCACTATCTGAGTAACAATATCCTCATTAACAATCTCGACAGGTTCTTAGTACTTGACATATTTCATTTTAATCTGCTTTTCAAATTCTTGTAACTCACTCTGTTGTTTAAGCTTATTTTCATGAGCTTCCTCGACTTGCTTTTCAGCCTTTTCGTCATCGCTACTCAGCTCAGTCTCCTTAAAGCTCTTCTTGAGTGAATCTTAAGAAGAACTTGCTCTACTCTCGTCACTCTTATTGCTCTTGTCATTAGCAAAGTTGTTATAGACACCATTATCAAGATCTGCATTGTTATTTTGTTCATATTAACGGTCAAAGTCTTTAACTTTAGGATTAAACTTGATGCATTTCTTAGGTCTCATTAATTACTTTACCTCCTCAGGCCAAGCTATTAATTTCTCTTTTTCCTCATCATAGTCACTTACAGTAGAGTTAAAAGGCGCTAATATGATGGATTTAGTTGAGGCATTCTTCAATAATGAATTGCCATTGGTTTTAGTATCTAGATTATGCTCTGTAAAGATGACCTCTGTATCTTATTGCTAATTAGACTGTCTGTTGATTACTCTATCTATATTCTTTGACAGATACTCTTTCTAGATGGTATCTTTTTCCTTTTAGGTGAATATATCCATTTCATCAACAGCATCTTTCAGCCAAGGATGACTAAGTACTTCATAAGCGCTTAGTCTCTTCTTAGGGTCTACTTCCAATAATGATGCAATAAGATTTAGAGCTGATTCACTTAATTTCTCTTCCTTAACTTCATATTTACCGCTTATAATAAGATGATGGAGCTCATGCATGCTAGCAGCTTTGAAAGGGACTGTGCCAATCAGCATAGCATATAAGCAAACACCTGCACTCCATACATCTACTTTGAATCCTTCATAGCCCTTATCTTTTAAAATTTCAGGAGCAATATATGCAGGTGTTCCACATTGTTCAGTCATTCTTTCAGTTTCAGTTGATACTTATCTAGACACTCCAAAGTCACAGATCTTTATTCTTCCATTTGCATCCAAAAGGATATTATCAAGCTTGATATCTCTGTGGACAATGAGTTTAGAGTTATGAATATAAGCTAGACCATCAATGATTTATTTGAAGAAATACTTAGCAACATCTTCCTTAAGCTTTCTTCTTTTTCTCACATACGTAAGTAAATCCCCACCTGAGCATAATTCCATTACAAAGCAAATATGCTTGCTTGTTTCGAAAGTATCATAGAGTCTAACAACACTCTGATGGTTGCTCTGCTTCAAGATAGCAAACTCTTGCATGATTTTTTTCTTTTGATCCTCCTCACTTTTAAGAAATTCTTTATTAATGCTCTTGATTGCTACAAGTTGCTCACTGACTTTATGGGCTGCCAAATTTACTTTTCCAAAGGCACCTCTACCTAAGACTCTGCCAATTCTATAAAACTCTGAGGTAGTCTAAGGAGCGTCGCTGTACTTTTTGAAGTTAATAGTAATCATTTTTTGAAGTTTGCAGATGTCCTTTGAGTACGGAGACATGTTTGGATCAGTAGTCATATAAATGTAGGAATTGGGCTCTTCAGTTGGGTTTTATATTTGGAGACTATCTCTCTAAATGTTTCCATGATTTCCTTCTATTCTCCTCTACTAATTTTACCTTTTGGCTGTTCCTGCCAGATCAACAACAGTCTCTAAGGGGTACTACTCTACGCTATTCTCGGTTATTCTACCTAGTTCTCCATTTATTTCTTCCAAAAGTTCCTCTTCTTCCATTATGTTATCATGCTCAAAAGGTATCACTCCTGTTTTCTGCTTTTATTACTTAAGAATATTGTTTCTAATTTGATTGAGCAATTTCTCAGTCTCAGATAGCTTAGTGTACTCAGCCTGCTCTCTTATAGTTCCATGACTCATTTGCTGCTGATACATCTAATTTTGATGCTACTAGTCATGCTTGAACTCAGAGACCTGAGATTTTTATGTAGGTTTTTTCATATTTTTAGAAGTATTTTGATTGGTTTTTTAGTTACTCTTCTTTTTAGTAGCTCCTCCATAGATCACGTGACTCTGATCATCCTCACCAAATGAAGGATCTCCTGGAGTACTAGTAATATCGATGCCTCTAGATTGCTTGTTGTTAGAGCTTAACGGAACATTAGAGAAACTCAAACTTTTGTTAGTAGGAGAGAGGATAGACTAATTGTTTGGTTTGTGATGCTACTGTTACGAATAAGGATTTGATAATGGGCCATGAATATTGCTACTAATATTAGACATTGAGGAAGTCTTTAAATGCAGAGACTATTTCATGTTCTTCTGGAACAAAGGTATGTTCTTATGCGGTGAATTCTGCACTGAGTATCTGTGATTTTGGAAACCCGCCTGCTTTTACTGATAGCCATTCGGCATGTTGTGATCAGGAGGGTTTAACGTCATACTAGACTAATTAAATTTGACGTTGCCAAAGTTATTCGGAGACATGTCTCGGAATGACTCCAATTGATGATGCTGGTTAGGTATAACGAAAGAATTTTTCCTCTGAATAAAATCACTCTATAGAGATTGAGAATCACTTTTCTGTAGTGAAATTTTTGAAAATTGCCTTTAAGGCCCATTTGAATTGACATAAGGTTGCTATTAGTACTGCGGATTATTGTGCTAATTTTAGGTGACTATTCCTTTATAAAGGTCTATAGAAATATTTGCAATGCTTTTTTTAGCTTAATGATGAGCAGCAATTGAACCTGAGGGATGATGGATTCTTGGGGAAACTTTTTCACTCTAGATAGTTTTTTTGAAGTTGTTTGTGACATTCTAAGTGGAAAGTTTGCTGTAAGATTATTTATTATGGCAGTTCTAGTTCATTTAGGATTCTTGGTATTTCTTTGTTGCCTATTAAATAATCTTGGACTTCATATCTTTTTCCCTAGCAGTTTTGTGGGAACTTGACATTACAACTGCTGATGAACTGTGCTGAGCTAGTGTCATCATTTGGTGATACTTGTTTGTTGATGAAGATTGATTGAATGAATTTTAAAGTGTATTTATCTGCTGTGACACATTCTAGTGTGTTATCGTAACTGAAGATGTAGGAGAAGTGATCATTGAATTTTTATGGGAGTGTAAATTACTCTTACCGCTCATTGTTGGATTAAAGTTTTATTTCTGACTATGTATCTATGGCCTTGATGTGTTATTGGCTTATTAGTGATTAGTATTTGGTTTAGGCGATACTTTTCTTTTTAGAGCAAGTTTTTAGTAATGATCTTTATAGTTGAACTATGAGTTATTAATCTTTTCTGGGGATTTTTTACTCGGTGGCACCTATTAACCCTAGGGCTAATGAGATAGTTTTCTCTGATGATAAATAGATTTTGAATCTACAGTATTGACTGCTTATATAGTTTAACTAATATTCTACTAATTATCAACAAAGCTGAGCTTATTCTGTTTATGCATGTTCTTTGCGCCTGTAGGGTTATTTATCTGATACTGTTTATTAATCTGTATTTAAGCTTCCATTAAAGCCTAAGAGTACTGCTACAAAAAAGAAGCATTATTGCTTCTATCTGTGTCTTTAAAAAGATCCTTGGGAGTTGCACCTTGAGCCAAACTATCTGCCTTGTCTTCATAATAGTCTGCATGAATAGGATTTACTAATGCTAAATTACTGTTTCCGCTACTGCTAAGCATTTCAAATCCTTAAGAGTCAGAATTTTAGAAATTTTTGCTTCTTTGCTAGTTTTGTATATTAAGGTTGGGGTCTTAGGAAAAGTTAACATAGTCACTCTAAGATCTCTAGTGATGAGGTCTGTAGTTTATCTGAGTTGAGGATTAGGCATTTTAATGCTAAAATTATTTTGAATTATTAACGATCTTGCTCTAAGTTGGTTAATGCTATTTCTTTTCTCTAATAGGTTGATTTTATTAGCTATTGGAAACTGGTTAAGCTCTAAGTGAGTCTTCTGTATAGCCATTGCTTTTCCTTCTGGTGTTTAGTTAAGAATAATCACTCTAAGAGTAGCTATGAGTCTACAAACTATCCTCTGGAATATAGTTACTGTTAAAGATGCTCTAGCTAGAACTCACTGCTCCAGTGTGGCTTGGCTTTCTAGCATGATTTTTACCAGGCTAAAATTCAACCTTGACCTTTCCATTTTATTAATTAGATGAGGACTATTGCTATTGGTACTAAATACTGCGGCTGTTTGGAGTATTAACTGAGCTGATTGATTTAGTCAATGGGAATTAATTTTGAGTGTTAATACTAAGCTAGTTTTTTAGATAAAAATCTATTGTCTAAGAACCGTTAGAATTAAGTCCAGTTCTCGCTTAAGACTAACAAATATTATCTTCTATTGAAGACATCTAAGGCTACTACTAACCCATTACTATTTTTTCAAAGGTGCTTTTTATTTTTACTGACTATTTCTATGAACTCAACTTCTTGTCTGCCTCTATATCATTCATTTACAAGAGAATATTGCCATGACTGTTAGAGGGTGATGGCTGTTGAGAAAACAACTAATGTCTTCTTTAAAGTTCCAAATCTTGGCTTTCTGAATTTTCATCTAGTAGCTCCTTTAATCGATGAGAATAGTTGAACACGTTAGATTATTTTTTGTAAGAGCTTTAATTTATTTTTTGAACTCCACCGATATTTGCCATATTTCCGTTAAGAGTATTTAAGTTAGAATGTGAGTGAACATTAGTGAAATTTTAAGCACCAGTGAATAGTGACTTCGATTTCTAATGATGTGACCCCGCATTAATTTAAGGTTACAAATTATTATAAGCTACCTTTTTGCTCTAATGCTTATCTGCATTGGTTTCAGCTTACTGACTGTTGGTCATGATTTTTTTTGACATAGATGGGTATATTAGATTGATAAAAGATTAGTGAATAGAATTGTGATTATTTCCAGAACTACTTCCCCCGATTGAATTCCTGTCAAATGTTAGGCTCTGACTCTCCGTTGTAAAGCCATGGTGATTATTTCCTTTCATATCTATTTATTAATTAATTCTAAGACCTTTGAATAATAATATTCGAGATTTTTAATATAATTAGTAGACTTACCTTAAGCAATTTAAGTGTGTGAAATAATATTAGGAGAAATCTGATCAAAATCAAAATTAGGAGTCATGTTTAATTTCTATCCATTTTTGGCTTACTCATTAAGTGGTATCCTTAAACTGCATTGATTACCAACCCCCATCTAGTAGTTAGGGTCTACCTTAAATTATTGAGTGGCCTTTTAGAAATTTTCAATGAAAGTGGTCACTGGATTGTTATGATTTAATCTCAATTATTGTTGTTGATGGCTGTATGGATCAGATTATGGGACAGGGACTCGATTTGGAGAGACTTTAGTACTTTTTGAGTATTAAGGTTAATAATCCATTGATCGCTTTCGTTGTTCGATGACTCCAATCAAATACTACTACTATCGAATATCATTCTCCTTGAGCTTATTATTTGATGACTTTTTGACTGATTAATTTTTTTACTAATCAGGAGTATTATGCTGACTGGGTTATCTATTCTGTAAATTAGCCACAGACTAATTTTTGAAATTCATTTATCTTTGATGATGAATGCTTTGCTGCTAGTTAATTGCATTGCTATTAGTTTTATTGTTGCTGACACTTAGCTAATTTTAATTGCTGGTAATGTGTGCTTTTGGGCTCTTCTTTGATGAATTCACTAAAGAATAATGAATCTATGTCTAAGTCTAATTCTTACCTTTCTTCTGATTTTTGCTGGAGGACTATTTCTGGTAGGTGCTTTGATAGAGTGCTGCTGATGACTGCGGCTGCAAAGTTGGTGGGTTATTTTGATACTACCAGGCAGAAGCAGCTGCGAAATTTGTATTCTTCATGCTTTATGAATATTTATTAAATTCAAATAATTTAAACAGTTAATATTTAATTCCAATATTCCATTCTGGGGTTTTGGGGTTTTGGGGTTTTGGGGTTTTGGGG